AAATTATGAGGAAGTAAATGGACAACTGCTGGGAAGCAGCGGGCAGCTGAGGTGAAGGATTGGAAGAGAGAGAGGAATTTTACAGGAGACTGGTAATAGGCATAGCATTCAATTCCACTACCTGGACCAGTGCAAAAACAGAGGGATTCATCCACAGACCACTATATCAGTAATTATAGGTAATATAAATAGGGAGGGTGACAATTTAAACAAGAGATGTTATGTTTCTACCAGGTTTTGTAGAAATGAACACGTTCTGTTCATCTGTTCATCACAAGCACAGAACGGTTAGTTTTACATTCTTCAAACAGACCAGGTGTTTTTAAGCAATGAGCTTAAAAAGTTGTTAATTCTGCATTAAAACTAGAAAAACCAGAAAACATCATTAAAAAGTGATTTTATGAGAAGAGCAAAGCTTCTCTGTGAAGCATTCAAAGCAGGGTAATTTGTCTCTTCCTAAAGGAAAGAGAAAACATCCAAAAACATCTCGCTGGACTAACCCCAGTATAACTTGGCTTGGGACAGAGGTAGCTAGACTAGCCATCACAGCAATGGGCTGTGGACATGGGCACACTGTTCCATGGTGTAGACACTCTATTTTAAAGAGGTACTGCAACCCTGTGCTGGAAAGATGGAAGCATGGCTGGATATCCATCAGCACTGAAGCCTATGGCGTGTTGGGTGCAGAACCTGCTTCTGCCTGTTTGTGTGTAGTAGTTTGCATCTTCTCCCCAGGCTTTTCTCACTTTATATCATTTCATTGGATGGGTAAAAGCAATAAAAGAGCAGGCATACGGATTAAACACGTTTAGCTATAGTTAACACTAGTGCTGGCCAGTTAAAGTTAGGGCAGCTTAACTGTTACCCTAAAGTTAGGATTGGCTTAGGACCTGTTTGACTGTAACAGCTTTTTTTCCTAAATCAGGTTCTAACCCCAGTTATCGTGATTACCAAACAGTTTAGATAAGATCTGAAAGTAAGGAAGTTTCTGTAATACGGCCCCTGATTCCAAGTTCTTGGACTGTCTGGACTGGGAACTTTTGTGATTCCTAGCCATTTCAGTGTCTTGCTTTCCCACCACATAACAGGAACTGTGACCGTGTGAGTTTTATACCAAATAAGCACAGGTGATGCAGAAGATTAGTGGGTTATAGATGTATGATATGTTGGTTGAGACAACGGTATTGAACTCTGTCTGATGTGATAATAAAAATTTGATCACAAAAAAATTCAAGTTAACAGCACCAGACCTAAAGACATAACTACTGAAATAATGGAGATGATGGCACTGGACAACAAGCCGTTTTCTGTAGTGGAGGACGAGGGATTTTGTCGACTCTTTCACATTTTAACCCTACTTTCAATCTGAAGACACAAGGGGCACCACCTCCTGGGTGCCCAACCACAAAATTTGCTGAGTGGGGGGATCAATCACCTAATCTGAATATGTCAGTTATCAGCGTTGGTCAAAAATACTACATTGGTACACCACTAGTTAAGCTTCACATGTAATTTCATTCGCAACATCACTGCCACCCTAAAACAATCGAGAACGTTGTTTTCAGTCATCGGTCTATATATTTTCACCAAAGTATGTACATATGTACAAAAACTATGCACAAATCCCCTCTGATGTCATTTCTATTCTGAAGGTCATCAAAGGTTGCATGCCCTTATCAAAGAACACACCTCTTATTTCAGAATTCACACTTCACAGGCATATTCCTATATTCCCAACGTACTTTTCTGATTATCTCCTGTCAGCTATGTTCAGCTCTAAAAACCACGTCTGCATCTTACTTATTACATTCAGGACCAGGGAGAGTGCGGTCTTAGCAACAGTGAAACTTTCACTGAGATCAACATGTAACTATCTGTCATAACAAAATGCAAATTTTATTATTTTCAAAACCAAAGACTTTTTTTCTTTTTTTTTAAACATGCAGATTACTATTACAGTAAACACAAGAACCAGAATGTGAAACGATCAGTTTTCTGCAGAATTCCCCAAGACAGTATCAACATTCAGCAGAGTCCATGACATTGTTAATCTGTCTGAAATCATCCACCTCATTATTCAACACATATCTGACAGGTTTTAAATAAACCAAAAAATTCTTGTTTCTTGTATCTTAGCTTGGTCATGCCCCTTTATGTCTTGACTGTGCAAAAAAAACCACACATCTTTTTCTTTGAAGAACTTGAACTGTGTATGTCCGTAAAAATGTTATTGCTTATAAATACTGCACTTGGAGGTATTATTAACATTAAGAAGAGACCCTGTAAAAACCATGAGACACCCTAGCCCTCTAAAATGGAGGTCTGCATGAAAGATGTTGTAGTTTGAAACAATCTCCTCATGCTGAATGTAGATAAAACAGCAATGATTTTTCACGGTCTGAGTTGGCTCTCAGTTTAATGCAAGACTGACACATTAAAGTACCTGTGGTTACAGCTCATCATATTGTTTAACTCTTTACGGTTCTGACCGGCATAGCTCTCTCTTTAAAGATTTAAAGGTTTTCATGGCATATATCTAACAGCAACACTATGCCATCTATCTGCTTACTGTAAATGCTTCCTGAAGTATCTCCAGTTTTAATAAATACAGCTACAAGTCTTATTACAACTAAACAGTGAAAACATTCTACCTCAGTATTCACCCCCCTACACTGACCTCATGTCAAATATATAGTGAATATCTCTCTCTCTTCTCCTTGGCCCCATTCTGTGGTTAATATTCATAAAATGTTGGTTATCACGTACAAAATCGGAATCTTGTTATATGCATTTTCATGATTCTTTTCTGCCTGATGGATGCTGATTTCATGGATGGACACTGGTTTCATGGATGGACACTGATTTTATGAATGGATGCTGATGTCATGAATGGACGGTGATCTAATAGGTGAATGCTGAATTCATGGATTGACGCCAATCTCATGGATGGATGCTGGTCTCAGGGATGGATGCTGATCACATGGATGGATGCTTATCTCATGAATGGATGCTGATTTTATAGATGGACGCTGATCTCAGAAAAGCAGTGCTGTCACATATCACAGGTAAAGATTTGGTGCCGGATAACTCACAGGCTTCCATGAATATATCAGCTATTCCTGGACATTCTCATTCTGGTCCTAGACCCACAGGACCCAGAACCCAGATATGACAATTTCCAAAGGAGGGATCCATATATCAGCCTAGTCCAGGATACAGATCCAGGCATTAACAAAATCTCCGCACTGCACTTAGCGAAAAAAATCAGCCAGTGATAATGGGTTAACCCCAGTCTTTCCCAAAATTCCATGCTCTTCACCACTGCGATATTATGCTTTATGAACATAACTTTCCCAGGAGTATTACATGATCACCTTCTTTGAAGGGGGTCAGAGAATGGTTCTAAATATTCCTCAGACTACTAATTTTTTATAATCATTTTTATGATAAATTTCTATCTGTTTATCTTCAATAACAACTATGAGTACAGTACAGGTAGAGGCTCATAGTGAACCTGGGGCAGAAAACCCAGGGCAAAAAGCAGGGGACACCCTGGATGGGATACCTGAGTACCAAGAAGAAACAATTGCATACACAGGAGGGACCATCAAACTCCCAGACAGAGCCAAAAGGGGAACTGAACATATAACCAGGATAGCCATCCTGAAACCTTCAATTCTGATTCTACTTGGGAAATCCACTGTCTGTGAACATTGTGACAATTCGCCTACCAAAAGCACTTACTCACTGATTGTCTTTGACTTTTTTCCCGTGCTTGTATTTCCTTCTTCACTGTCACTGAGTTGCACCAGCACCCAATCAGACATGCACACAGAGAGACGTGAGGTATGGAACACATGAAGGAAAATGCAACAGAAAGCTGAACTTGAGCAATTCAAGGACTCATGAAACAGAGAATCAGTTCTGGTCTTTTCTCGACAGCTTGGTGTTTTTCTTTTTAATATCGCCTGTGGTCTCAGCGTGACAGATGACTCATTTGGAACATTATACTCTTGTGTATGAAGCCTTTCAGCAGCAGTTGGGACTCATAATTATTATAATATAATGTTATCTAAATTGAGTATTGCGGGAATCTTGATCCCTGTTGAGGGTCCAAGCCTGACGAGAAAGAAAACAATACTGGAGCCAAATCCGTGACACACTAACTTGTCAGCAGGCGAGCCTGAGATTTCAAAAGCCAATAGATGTAAGCCCTAAGAACACCAGCAGAAGCTCTGAAGGCGTTTACCAGGATGTCATTCTTTGTCTGACAGCTTATAGTATCTATCATTTTGATTATTTATTAGCATTGTCTAGGCTTGGGCGGTATGGTGGTATTACGGCATACTGCGGTATCTGGCAGTCCAGGCAGAAGGCATTATTTTTAATACCATAAAAAATACAGACGCTCCTCCTTGTATGACACTGATACCGGAGATGCTGCATTGAGGTGATGTACTGTAGCGCACAGCGTTAGCGGCGATTGGAGCCTCACTTAAGTAATGAGAAAAAGGCAAAGAACAACACACATGCGTAGGTTAATACTACAGAAACAAAATGCGGCATGAATGCTCTGTAAGTTGCTGGAGCATGGCATGGCATACTTGAATCTTAGTTTGCACGTGGTCGCAGGCCAGGCAGCTACAATGGTATCAATGAACGAAGGCTGATTGTCTCCTTGTTTTCCTAGTGCTCAACTTCCACACTGATGAGTCAGTTTACAGTAGCCTACATGATTTACATGTTTTTTTTCTAAATACTGGCATGCATCGAATACCAGGGTGAAATGTCAAGAAGGAATGATGGTACGTAAATTGGATACTGCCCAAGCCTACTGTTGTCCCGCATTTCATAGGCAGCCTGAACAAACTGACATGTCTTTCTGGTAAATGAGATCTGCCCCTCCTGCCAATGCTAATGAAGGCAATAGCTTCGGCATTCAAAGAATCTGGTGGCTAGACCTTGAAGACAAGTTTCAAAAGTGAAAGATGGGGGCTCACCTCTGCAAAAGTTCTGCTCATCAGGAACAAATCCGGGGCTGCAATGCATGTTTCGGACCACGTTTTGGTAAACCCGGTGCCTGGGTGGGACTGGGGGAGAATTGACATGCTCTGCAGCCTGTTCCTGACTCTCCTCTCCATTGTTGACAATGATTTGGGCGCTGGGAGGAAGGCAGAGGTAGCCGCCGTAGTGGTTTGTGCACTGCATGCCGCCTTTGCAAGCGTCAGGCAGGATGGCACACTCGTCGATGTCTGAGGGGAACACGGAGAGACGGGAGGCGCTGCTCATCATCTTTGAAGAGCGGGAGAGTGACTGACATGCAGAATGGAAGGATGGTCAATTTGAGGGGTAAATTCCAGGCTAATATGTTACCTTTGCACACTTGCCTTTGGGGTTCAAATTCGTAGCCATCTGTGCACTGTTGATTAAAAGAATACAGCCAGTCATAGCTTAAATCTAAAAACAATCCACTGTTTTTCCAGAAATTACCAATACATTACTCAAATAACCTATAAGTATGCTGCACTTGCATCCTTTTCCTTTGAAAGTAATGTATGTGACAGTGTCCCTAACAAATACCTCTTAACACAGGTTGTCAAATGGCTGTTTCTTAAGTACCCAGCTTGCCAGAATTATGGCACTTATCCTTGGCATCCAGCATCTTTGACTAGCCGTCCCCGCCCACAACGTGTCTAATGCCCCCCCCCCCTGTACAGAGGGCGGAATGTGTGCCTCACACTGAGTCACCAGAGACATTATCCTGGGGTTTCTGTTCAGGCCTAGGCCTAGGCCTGTGTCAACCCCCCACACACACACACACACACTAGGAAACACCCCATATCAGCTGGTGGAGCTGTGTCTGGAAACCTGAAAATGTGAAGAGCCTCGTCTTATCTGGGGCACCACAGCTCTCTGACTTAGGTTCATTCAGAGCTTACTGTCGATTACTCAACACTCCCTCTGTCCTATAGTATATTCCAGCCCCATCCCATAATTCACACAATGCCAGGAGGAAAGGAGCAGATGATGCTAACTAACTTCTAAGTATTGGCGCACTTTGAATCCTGGACTGTTATCTATGAGTGCTGGAGGTGTTTGGCACTTTGGGGACAAAGAGAGCAGTTTGAAACTGGGGATAAAGAAAAGAGAGACTATCATTGGCTGATGGAAATGTGACGAAAAACCTTAGAGGAAACTGCCAGCACCCACAGGATGGCGACACAGTGCCTACACCCAAGCTCTGCAAAAAACCTGCATTGGCTGCATCTCTTCAGTACCAGAGGTATAAAGTTCAGGTCCTGAAAGTACAAGTCCAGACCAAGATTTTGTTTCAACCAACCAGTTGAGTATAACGAGTGAGAGTTACAGAGAACTCAACTGGTTGGTTGAAACAAAACCTGGGAACTCATCTCCTGGTTGGGCCTTCAGAAACATATCATGCTATAAGGACAGCTTGATGAGCTCTGATATGTTGCCTGTAATGTAACCTCCTTCTCCTGCTGGGTGAGGTGTCTTCCACGATGACCATCTTCCCATCCCTCATAACCTCCTAAAGCGGTGTTTCCCAATCCGGTCCTCATGGACCCACAGCAGTTCACATTTTTCCACCCTCCTACCTCCCGGTTAGGATTTGGTGCTGATTAACTCATGGGCTTCTGTGAATATATCAATGAGCTGGGAGGAAGCAAAAATGTGTACCGACTGTGGACCAAATTGGGAAACGCTGCCTTAAAGGATGCCCAGGACTGCGTGGAGGGATGCCAGTGAAGAGCAAATTCTAAGAATTCTTTATCTGTTTGCATGGACTCAAAGTCACTGTTACAATCCACCAAGAACTAATGAAAATGTGAGCGAGTGTATCTCAGCATCCAATTTAGTAATGTTTTTGTCTGTATTAGGGTTATACCTACAGTACCTGTTCATTTATTGATTGCATTAAAAACAAATAATTTACATTTAAAACTAAATGTATTTTTTTCCTATATGGTGTTCAATTCTCATGTTTTTTTTTTTTTACAGGACTCAGAAAATAAATAATCTGTCACCAAAGAATAACAACATGTTATTAACATTCAGTTGTATATTATAAAAGCATATTTAAATGTAAGTAAACTATGTTTGTTAAGAATATGCAGTGAAGATAAGTAGCACATCTGACTCTGGAACAGTGGATCATACTTTCCGAAAATTGTTATGGATGTATAAAGAAACACAGAGCAGATACTGGGCACCCCCGGGACAAATGAATGTGTCTGTTTTAATGCATACGAATGGAGCGGGAGGCGCACTTACCGTGTAAGAGACCGGGTCCTCTGCCTCTTGGGAAAGAACGGAGTTAATGACCACGCTTAGACACAAGCATATCCTGAACATGGTGAACAGCCCTAAAAATAGGGAAGAAAGGCGTTATTACGGGCCTATTTATGTTCCATGTTTCAAGGCAGTCGATAAATGTAATAGCCGTTATTACATCAGAAGCTAAATCGTTGAGCAAGTGCAAACATCTCCCCGTGTTTGGAGGGCAGTGTTTTTGCTGGAGCGGCTCCAGTCTCGTCTTAGACAGCTGGAGGCATGCGGCGTTTTTTCGTTTGTTTTTCCCTCGGAGTGCACTAAACGCACCAAGGGGTCTCAGGCAAACGCGCATGTTAAGCAAGCCTCACTTTACACACTGTAACGTTTATGCCAAAATTCAGCTGTTCGAAAATCAGAGCTGAGAAATTTCGCAACGCAATGCATGGCGCAACTCCATCTGCTTTTTTCCGTGTGAAAACACCAACTTTAGTTACATCTTCGTGTAGAGAGAGAGGACTGAACTATGGCAAAGATTTATTGACGTTGTATATTAATTACTGTCAGTGTCACAGAAATTTCGGTATATATAAAATACGCATGGAATAAGTTTAACTGAGAGACGCATTTTGTATGGTGTTTAAGGGGGAAAATTATTATGTAATACAATGCAAATAAATAAAAATAATTCAATATACATTACAGATAAAAGTTTACCAAGCGTACGCACAAATGCACACGTTAACGGTCACTGCATTCCTACACATTACTATAGCTGAACATCTTTCCACCGCTGAACACCTGTGCGTATTTAAAGGCTAAACGCATATTTGTTTTCAGGTCATACACACGCTGCAAACTCAGCAGTCAATACCTGTTACCTGGTGTAGCTCAGTGAAAAGAGCAGATCTTAGGACAGCACCTCTAAAGAAAAGCCCACAGTAAAGGAAAAAAAATCCGGAGTTAAATTAATCTTCAGTTGTGAAGTGATGGTATGGCAACTGCTGTAATCTCCTGCAGTCCAACACCCAGAAGAATCAGAGGGAACATGCGGAATGTGGGAGGCGGCGCTCCTCGCAGGTCTCACACCACCGCGCTGTCCCATCGTTTTCCTTTAGGAAACTCCACTTGGATGTGTTCCCCTCGCAATTATTATAATTGTTATTAGACATATAGCGCCCCCTGGAGGTCATTTCAAATTCAGCATGAATTCTGTTTATAGTTCTTGTTTTTGTGTCTAATTCAGCACATTTCCATGTAAAAGATTTGTGTGCTGGAGGGAATGTAAGTGCATTTATCGGTTATTAATATTTAATTTAATTTTCTGGCTTTTGTGGGGGAAAACAGTTCACAACCACTTCTGCCCTACAACATATCAGATGCTCCATTTAATAGTGGAGATCAATGCTTCACAGCTATACTAAACATCTATGTCTATCTATTTTGACCTTTCTTCTGCAGCTCACATGTAAGAAAAGGGGAAACTTTTGCCATCGAAGTATCAGGCCAATGGCAGTCTAAGCTGTAGGTTCCAACTCAGTCCTTCAAACTTTTGGTTTTGCCAAAGTTTCAAAACTGTGTTTAAATCATATTCTTTTTTTTCTCCTTCTTTGCACAGAGAGATCGATCCCTGAAACACTTCATCTATAAATCGGCCATCTCTTTTCAATGCATCCTCTACTGTCTCCCCAATATACGGACTCCGATTCCGGGTCGAGCCATGGAGATCTGCACAGGCCTTTGTCTCAGTCTTTTGCTCTTGAGTCCTGATGCCTGTTTGGTACCCCAGCAATTATCTAGCAAGTTGCTATTGGCAGAGAGCCCAATACCGGGAGATTCACAAGCAGGACCAGTGGACCATACGCACATTGCAGACGTGTGCCTTTGGTTAGACTGAAAATATGCATGAAATGCTACATTACTATGTATAATGTAAATTCTAGGTGAGTGTAACTATTGATTCTGATACTGCCTACATGGCTTACACTTTTGTTGCTGGACATTCACTGGAAGCTCAGCCTAGCTGCACTTATGCCTAATTGGCTCCTTGACCCTTGACAACTGTATGTCTGTGTTGCACACTCTCTTGTACGTCGCTTTGGACAAAAGCATTTGTTAATTAAATAGAAGTAAAGATGAAATATAAGATGTACGTTTGGATCAAACGTTGGTGCCAATATGGAAACTAATATGTAAATGCCATTGAATATACAGTAGTATGCAAAAGTTTGGGCACCCCTCGATAAATAACATATTTTGGTAATTTTTTAATGGAAAAGATGTAAACACAGTCTCTGTAGGAAATGGAAAAAATGCACAATATTTTCACCAAACATTGATGCAACCCCTATCAAACTCCATCAAGTGCTGGTAATGCTGTCTAATGCATCTACGAGGCATCCTCTGTGTTTGGTGACTAGACCTGGCAGCTCCTTTCAAATCAATCAAATCATTTACATATCCATCGCTGGTCTGCACGTGTACCAAATTACATCCTAATCGGACCATTACTTCTGGGTACTTAACTTTTTTGTCACTGAATGTATACAGTAGTATGCAAAAGTTTGTAAATAATAAATAACATATTTTGGTCATTTTTTAATGGAAAAGATGCAAACACTGTCTCTGTAGGAAGTGGAAAAAATGCACAATATTTTCACCAAACATTGATGCATAGTTACTTTTTATGTCATAGATTGAACAAAGATAAAAAAAATATAAACATTATTATGGCACTCTGCAAAAGTTTGGGCACCCTAAGAGTTCCAAAGTCTCAGATTCTTTTTACAAGGTTTCAGACCTTAATCAGCTCGTTAGATCTGATGCATGGCAACAGCTGTCATTAGTAAATGTCAGCTGGTGCCAATTTCAAAGCTTTACAAATACTCTGACTCTTCAAACCTTGTGCACACACTTGTGGACACTCAGCAACCATGAGTTCCTCTAAGCAGCTGTGTAAGACTCTGAAAATGAAAGTTATTGATGTCCACAATGCAGGAGAAGGCTACAAGAAGATAGCAAAGCATTGTCACCTTGCAGTTTCCACAGTGAGAAGTGTAATTAAGAGATGGCAGTTCAGGGGAACTGTGGAGGTCAAGATGAGATCTGGAAGTCCAAGACAACTCTTGGAGAGAACTGCTCATATGCTGGTCAGAAAGACAAATCAAAACCCCCATTTGTTACTAAGTACTGATTATGTAGGGTGCCCAAACTTTTGCAGAGTGCCACAATAATGTTTTTATTTTTTATCTCTGTTCAATTTATGACAAAAAAAGTAACTATGCATCAATGTTTGGTGTAAATTTTGTGCATTTTTTCCATTTCCTACAGAGACAGTGTTTACATCTTTTCCATTAAAAAATGACCAAAATATGTTATTTATTATTTACAAACTTTTGCATACTACTGTATACATTCAGTGACAAAAAAGTTAAGTACCCAGAAGTAATGGTCCGATTAGGATGTAATTTGGTACACGTGCAGACCAGCGATGGATATGTAAATGATTTGATTGATTTGAAAGGAGCTGCCAGGTCTAGTCACCAAACACAGAGGAAGCCTAGTAGATGCATTAGACAGCATTACCAGCACTTGATGGAGTTTGATAGGGGTTGCATTGTGGGTTTGCATAAGTCTGGCTGCTCGTATCGTGCAATTGCCTGGCATGTGGGGCATTCAGATGTCAGTCGCCCGATGTTGGAACCAATGGGCACGTGAGGTCACTCACACATGTTGTGCAGGTTCTGGTTGCCCAAGACAGACCACACAAAGGGAAGATCGTCGTATTGTGTGCCAAGTATTAGAGGACCCCATGACATCTGCGCCTGCTATCCAGACACAGGTAGTGGGCTCTCTACAACACCCCGTGTCATCCCGCACCATGTCCCGACGACTGGCATCAGCTGGACTATGGGTTCACCATCTCATTCATAGGTTGCCCTTAGCACCAGTGCAGAGACGGCTGTGTTTGGAATGGTGCCATAACCGGAATGCATGGACTGATGATGAGTGGCATCATACCATGTTCAGCGATGAATCGCGGTTTTGCATTACCATGGATGACCGTTGGGTGTGCGTATGGCTGCGCCAAGAGGAGAGGACTAATTCTGGCAGTGTTGTGTAGAGACACACCAGCGTTACTCCCGGCATCATAGTGTGGGGAGCCATAGGCCATAGCCATCTCTCTAATGTAATGGTTTGCTTCTGAGGCTTGGATACATCCAGCTTGGATACAAGTTAAGCTGTAGATGTTGCAGGATGGGCCATGTCGATGGGTGGAGTTAGAATCCTGGTTATCAGCAGGATATTTTGTGTCCACTGGCATGCAGTACGCCAGAGATCCAGTACGCCAGAGATCTTTTCCAAGTCACGTGAGAGAACCTTTCTGTGATATAGCTCAAACCAGCTCTGTGGATGCCTGTGATACATATCTCAGTTCTGGCTGTTGAGAACCTACTGCCGGTCAGCATCTGTAGATAGATCCATGAGAGAGAAGAAAGCGAGGCTGAGAGAGAACTTTTCATTAAGACCATACAAGGTTGCTTCCAGTACTGAGGAGCAACTTCAAGTCTGCTCTGAGAAAGGCAGGTGGAGTATTTGTTAATGGCAGGGCTGGACTGGGATTAAAAGACAACCCCTTTAAAATGATACACTTTGCCAACCTGGGTCAGAGGAATCCATACATTTTCTATAACTGTATATCCTATTCAGGGTCACGAGGGGTCCAGCGCCTACTGGCACAAGTTGCCAACCCATCACAGGGCACACTCACACACCAATCACTCACACATCATTCACATCTATGGGCAAGTTGGTAACTCCAGTCATCCTCAGCATGTTTTTGGACTAGGGGAAACCAGAGTACTTAGAGGAAACCCCACGATGACACGGGGAGAACATGCAAACTTTACATACATGGAACCCTTCTCCCAGATGTGTGCGGTTGCAGTGCTAACCGCTGCACCACCATACCACCCCAAAGGGGGGAAGCCCCTACAATATATTTTGCTGGCCCACATACCCGTCAGTCCACCGCGAAAATGCCTGGTATGCTAGATGGGTGGTCCAGTCCAGCCCTGCTTAATAGCCAATTATTCTACAGTTTGTTAATGACAGTTTAGAAGAGTTTTAGAAGAGATGTTGCCTGTCATTCTTAGCACCATCAACATCAAGGGTGAACTACTTCTGTATCTTTTTTCCTCTGTGCTGGCTTTCCAGCAATAATGACAAAGTAGAAACAGGAGGGAGAGAGAAGATTCGGAGTTTGAGAGAGGAGCATAGGACACAAGGGAAAGTCATTAGTACAGTATAACAGTACACGTAAAACAAAGCAAATGCTGTTTGAGCTGTATGAATAGCCAAGTTCTCTGTAGCAAAGGCTCTCTGTAGTGCAAAATCAAGCCATGACCTTCAGATCCACTTAAATGCTCTCTATTGTATCTTACATGCTAACCATATAATTTTGTCAGCTACAGCTTTTTCCTCCAGAAATGATATACTTTAAGCTGCGTGGACAACAGAAAAATCAGAAGGCAAAGGTGCTGCTTGTTCTTCAAGGCTCTTTATGACAGTGGAAATAAAGTGTAGTACATTAAATAGCCTGCAGATGGCAGAGAACACAGTAGTTACTTGCCCAATATGTTTGTCACACAATGTATAACACAAATGGATATATAAGAAGGATAAAATGTTATTTCAGTATCAAACTATGTAACAAAAACATCCAACTTACGCCTTTAATATATTTAAAATTTCTCAGACAAGATCTAATGCACCGATGTGGTTTATAATGTTGCATGCTGGAAGCTTCTTCAAAAACAATTATATATATGGATATATATGTGTGTGTGTGTGTGTGTGTGTGTGTGTGTATATATATATATATATATATATATATATATATATATAGTTTAATTTTAAAGTTTATGTTTTTTCATGTATCCACTATGCACTATGCATATATGTCTGTCTTCTGTAGGTCTGCTGAGGTGCAGCCATAAGTATCCAGCTGGGAGCAATGAGTATTTTTTCAACTGCCAGTCATCTTGTGATGTTTCTTCCAATGCAGTAGGTGCTCCATCCAGAACTGATGGCCAATCAAAATGATA